AGTGTGCACTTGAAACTCGAGTATTTTCAAACGAGACCCTAAGTACTTGAGACTTGAGCAGAGATACAGAAGGCATGATCACACTTGTGGTTTGGAGAATGCATGCAACTGCATTCACATCCCCAGCGTTTTTCCTTGTTCTTTCTTTCTTTTTGCTTTTTCTTGTTACGGGTCCCCCAGCCTAGGCCCTTTTTGCTACTGGTACTGCCAGGCTCGGCAGGCTCGGCATACCAGTCGCCGGAGGGTCGGACTGCATAGCTGGGCGAGGTACTGGTGGGGTAAGTGCAAATCCTGTCTCTTTTTTGTTTTAACTCAAGCCAGGTGCGAGGAATCAGCTCCTCAGCAAGACCAATGGGGCCCTGTTACGAAATGCGGCCTGCCCTACGTGAAGGCAAGCCTGATAATTCCAAGAGGCCTATGTTGTCAATTTTGCAAATGGGGTTTCAAACATTTGGTTCGCGTCAGTTGGTTGAGGGAAAACCCAGGCCCTGGCCGCAACATTCTGCATCGGCCTCCAGGCCACTTCTGGAAGAACGTGGAAGCAGGCCCTGGGCCACAAGCACAACAGAAGGCACGACTGGCAGTTGGACAGTAACTGTACGGGGCCCAGGCCACCGGGCCTACTGGAAGCTTCTGGGCACAGGCCCAGCCTTGCCCAGCGTCGACCGGTAGAAGGTTTCTGCCAGCATGTCGTCCAAACCCTATACCTCACGCCGCGTCTGTCACCCACGGGAGGGTTGGTCGGGGCTCCTGTAACCTGCACATTCCACGTTAGTCCGCATTCATGCAAACATAGACCTCAACATACCCAAAACAAATGCGCGAGCTGTACACGAGTCACCGTCCTGGCAGGAACAAAACAATCGTTTCCATTCAATCCAAAATAATAGGGTTCGCAACATTGCTTCTGCCTCAGGCGTAAGGTCTGTCCCTAAGTCTGGGAAGTCGGTCTGAGTGCCGATGGATCGAGTCAACAGTCTGGGTCTAATCCTCCTCCCGATCGGATGCCGCCGATACCGTGCCCGTCGATCCCAAGGGACCGTGCTCGAACTCTCCGTATCTGAGGTCGCCTCTCGTGCCCACTGGGGCCAAAGCTTGAGATCAACCTTGACCATGCCTCCCTGAGATGCCGTTAACACACTTGCGACTCATTGCCCACCCTGGTAGGTCCAGTTCACAAAGTACCTCCTCGGGAAGCCCTCTTCACAAAGTACCTCTTCGGAAAGCCCGCTTCAGAAAGTACCTCCTCGAGAAGCCCTCTTCACAAAGTAGCTCTTCGGAAAGCCGGCTTCAGAAAGTACCTTTCGAAAAGCCGCTTCACAAAGTACCCCTTCGGAAAGCCCGCTTCACAAAGCACCTTTTTGGAAAGTCCGCTTCACAAAGTACCTCCTCGGGATCCCTGGCCCACAATGTGCCTCTTCCGAATACCCGAATCGCAGTGTGCCTCTTCAAAATACCCGGATCGCAATGTGCCCCGTCAGATTACCTTGTCCACAACGTGTCCTTTCGGAAGGGCCGGTTCTGAATGTGCCTCTTCAGAAGGCCCCTTGCACGTCTCTTCCATGAGCCCCTCGACGTGCTCACTCAGCCACGCCCTTAGTGCCCCGTGGGCGTACTCTTCAGCAAGCCCATTTGGAACGTTGCTTAGTGTCCTTTTGATGTGTCCTCTAATCCCTCATCGGTGTGGCCTTGGAGCGCCCCGCTGGTGCGTGCCCCTAGTGTGTGTCCTTGGTGTGTATGCGCTCTTATACGCGCCCTTGGAGCATCCTTGATGGGTGGCCCCCCTGATCTGTGCCCCAATGGCCCTTTTTCGCCGGTGTCCCGACTGCGCCCTAAAAGGCCCGTTCCGTCGGTATCCCGAATGCGCCCCAAAGGCCCGTTTCGTTGGTGTTCCGAATGCGTCCCAAAGACCCTCTTCGTCCGTGCCCCGCTTCGACCCCGATCGCGCGTGAGTGTGTGACGACGTGCGCCCCTTAGTGTGCGCCCTTTCGGTGCGTGCCCTTCTGGATTCGACCTTTTGCGTGCGCCTGCGCGCCTAGGGCTGCGCTCTTAGAACGCGCCCCTACGCCCCTGGCGTGTGCCCGTAGTCTCATTGCGCCCTTAGTACCCGTTCGGTGTGCCCTTCGCTGCACACCTGGTCCGTTAGAGACTGGGAAGGGCCGCCTGACCGTGCCGGCACGTGCGCAAGGGGACTGCACGCTGCTACGCACCCGTGCGTGGGGGCCACCCGCGACCATGCGTCCGTGCGTCTGTGCGTGGGGGACTGCGCACGACTGCGCGCCTGTGCGTGGGGGCCGTGCGTGACTGCGCGCCCATGCGCCTCTGCGCGGGGGCTGCGCGCGACCGCACGCCCGTGCGTAGGGGCTGCGCACCCATGCGTCTGTGCGCGGGGGGCTGCGTGTGACTGCGCGCCTGTGCCGCTGTGCGTGGGGGCTGCGCACGACTTCGCGCCCGTGTGCCTGTGCGCGGGGGGCTGCGCGCGACTGCGGGCCTGTGAGCCTGTGGGCGGGGGCTGCGCGCGACTGCGCACCCGTGCGTGGGGGTTGCGCGCTTGTGCGCGGGGGGCTGTGCGCGACTGCGCGCCCGTGCGCTTGTGCGTGGGGGCTGCGCACGACTGCGTGCCCGTGCGCCCGTGCGCAGGGGGCTGCGCGCGACTGGGCACGCATGCGCTTGTGCACGGGGGCTGCGCGCGACTGCACGCCTGTGCGCCTGTGCATGGGGGGCTGCTTGCCTTGAGCACGTACGTGCTCCCGCACGCCCGATGGTGCGCAGTAATGCCCTCGTGCGAGCTCCCATGCGTCCTTACCTCTCTTGTGCGCGTCCTCCGTCCTTCCTTCCTGCGCGTGTTGAAGTCCCTTGTCTTCTTCGTGCTTCCTCTATCTGTGCATGCGAGAAGTGTCCGTACCCAGACCCCTGTTTGGCTTTTATACTTCGCAGGCCTCCTCTTTCCAAGTGCCTCACACTCCGGGGGCTGTCCACAAGTTGCAGCGCCCCGGTACCAGGCGTGCGCCCGGGCTTGTTTGGGCCCCCAAGGGGATTTTAGTGAAAGGGGCGTTTTTTGTCGGGAACCGGGCCTTTTGCAGCGCCCCGATACCGAAGCTATTCCCGAGCCTGAACCCGGGCCTGTTTGGGCCCCCGAGAGGATTTAGTGAAAAGGGCCTTTTTTGTCGGGAACCGGGCCTTTTGCAGCGCCCCGGTACCGAAGCTATTCCCAAGCCTGAACCCGGGCCTGTTCGGGCCCCCGAAGGATTTTCATCGAAGGGGGCCTTTTTGTTGGGTACCGTGCCTTGGTGGTCCCCACACTCAAGAGGTCCCGGGCCCTTGGAAAAAGAACCGCAGGCCCCCACCCAAAATTCAAGGTCGAGAGGCCTATTTCCGAGCCCTAGATCTGCTACCTCTTTTCTTTGGCGCTAAGTACCCCCGAAATGGGCAGGTATCATAGTCATCGGTGCGCAGCCCTCCTGGTATTTGACCACCCGTGATAACTTCGGAGGATGCCGGCGCTTGGGATGCCCGAAGCCTTGTATTTAACCACTTGTGATAACTCCGGAGGATGCCGCTGCTTAGAATGCCCGAGGCCTTGTGTCAAGTGCCCGACGCCCCTTTTCTTCTGGCTGCTCGCCAACCCTTGGCGCATCTCCGGCTCCTGACGGTGGTGTCCTTCTTCCCGAGCTCTCCGCGTTTCGTCCTTTACTTTAGTCTTTTCACGGCCTCTCAGCGGCTTATTTTCATATCCCTCTCATGAGAGTATCCCCCCAACGCTCGAGCTCTACCCAGTCTGAATGCTGCGACCGATTCTCGTGGCATCGATCCGTCGTCGCATCATCATGTGGCCCGCCTTAGCCCTGTCGAGTAAAACAAGTAGATAGGGCCCTTGTTGGACGCCTTTATCAAGGAAGTAAAGGGCGGCGTAAGGTAGGAGCCGCCCAACAACAGCCCCCCCCCCCCATTCTCGACGTCCCCGTCAAGCCATCTTGGTGTATCATTTTATTATCCAGAAGGAAAAAATTAATCGGCTGACACCTAATCCGTACTCGATCAACCCCGAGAACATATCCCTCTCATAGTTTTCTTTCTTCCCTTTGTTTTTCGTACCTCTCTTCCCACCGTCGTTTCTTTTTGCTTCCTGTTTTTTTGTCCTTACTTTCTCTCTCAACCACTGTAGCATTGTCAAGCTCTAGTAGACTTCGAATTTGCCTCGCCACTTGTGGAAGTAGAATCTACTTTCGCTCATACGCTTAGTCGCCGGGTTCAGTTTGACAAACGCTAGAGGACCTCCTTCCTCGAACATCAGGATTTTTAACTTATGAGTTTTACCTCCTCCATTCACGAGCGTCCTTCTCCTCCTCGCACCCATTCTCCATCCAATCAGTAAGGTTTGAAAGAGTGTAAGGAAAGGTATTGTAGGAAAGGCAGCACATGACAGGCTTGTACGAACCCATAAGGAGCATGGTTCCCCCTTCGCACCACCATAAAGATCAAACGTAATGAGACAATTAGTTACGCCAAGTAAGATGTCAAAGTTAAAGTTGCAGCCGCAACACCGACAACGGACAGTACGAGCATATGCTGACACAAGGCCGATCAGCAAGAGAAAAATGAGACAGAAGTAAACATTCCAGCCTCGCACCCCTATCCCAAGTCGAAATCCCACAACCCAATTTCCAGTCTTGACCGAATCATTGTCGTTAATATCAGATTCCTTCACCTCAAATCCTTCTTTGAGTTCTGACAGTTCCTTAAATTCTCGTGACGTGCTTCTAAGATGGTCATCATCCTCAATAAACTTAACTTTCACGATGGCCTTTCCACGGCCTTCTTGGTCAGATGGAAGTCAAATCCCATAGTCTTGACCTTCCAAAAGCCCCCCGCCTAATTCTCCTTCAACACTCACCGCCGTGCATTGATCCATTATTAAATCTCCAGTATCTTTCATAGTTACCAGATTTTTGCTCGCAACCGTATTAAAAATATCTGCAACATCGTTTTTGGACGTGTCGATGGCCTCAAACAGTTGGGCAAGGTCATAGTTGATGTCTGACTCGAGGGTCTCGAACAATTGTGCAAGCTCATAGCTGTCGTTCGGCTCGACGGTCTCAAACAGTCAAGCAAGTCCATAGTTGTCATCCAGCTCATACATCTTCATGGAGAGAGAGAGAGAGAGAGAGAGAGAGAGAGAGAGAGAGAGAGAGAGAGAGAGAGAGAGAGAGATGGGGATGATGACGTGAGGGCACGGACCTGGTCTTGGCGATAGTCTACAATGGTCAACATCTTCATGTACTTCGGTTCTGCTGCTGACGTCAACAGTTGCATTGTCAATTCGTAGGCTGGTAGTAGTTGCTCGACAGTAGTCTGGGCGCTGAGTGCCAAATAGGAGAAGGGCTCTGGATACTTATGTTGGTGATGGCGAGAGTATGCTCTCATTGACACTCGGATTCGGAATCAGTGTTTTGGTTTTCCGCCGGTGTAATATTAGTGCAATTCTTCTTTCTGGACAATGTCGGACTTGCAGGCTTTCAATGTGATTCTGGAATCTGAAATCTATCATTTCGCTATTACTCGTTTTCCTTGCAATTTGGTATGAGATCTGGCTCGAACTACACTTGCTTGTTCTTCGCAATAGTTGTTTGGTGCTTCGCTGGTTATGGTGAGGTAGTGATAACAGTGGTGCGTTGAACGATTGGCGACCTAGGGTCGTGTGGGCGCACTAGGAAGGCTATGTGGCAACCTAGGGGTGCATGCAAGATGATGACAGTTTGTTGACATGGCAATTTAAGCCGAAGTGGAACTGCATTGCATTGTGGGTTGTGCCGAGGCGTCGACCGCTTATTATAAATGCACGTGAGGTTGCTGGTGAGAAATTTGTGGTTGGGGGCAGCATTATGAGGTATGTTGCTCTCATCATTTTCTACCCTTTTCATTGCTTCTTAGTGTGTGGAACTGAGGTTTGTCTTGAGAGTCCTCTCGATGTGAGGTGTCGCGAGCACTCAACCTTGAGAGTCGACATTCTTCCTGGGCACCACGCTGGTGGGAGATGGGCGAAGCTTCTGAAAGGGTCTTGGACGAAGCACTCGGGCCATGGTCACCATGCCAACCCGCTGGGACTAGTACACACATGCTTTGCCGCAAGTCCTTGGTTCTGCTTGTTGTGCTGATAGAGGCCGTGTTGGGCACGCCAGCCCTATATGAGACGCTGCTCAACCATATGCTCAGGATGTCGACACTCAGTGAATGATCAAGAAGGATACAAGTCGGGGGGAGGGAAGATACCAGTAAACGATTCAATTAATTAGTATTGAAAATTTTTCATTCTAGGTGCAAACCCAACAAATTATTTTATAATTATTTTTTATTAGTTAGTTATGACAGACGCTGCTAACAACTTACGAATAACTGCACATAGGTAGTACACATTCCTGGCTGCATTGAAGTCTGCCTCGGACTAGTCAAAAGTAGTAATAGATTTGTTTGTAGGAATCAGAGATTATCTGATGTTACTGCTTGACTAGCCTCTGAAAAAGTTGGACCGAACATTTATTTGTTTCTGCTTATTAATAAGTTGGTTGCCATGCTCCAATAGGTTTCATCGAGGACACTAGTGGAGATCGTAGACCACATGTAGTTCATGACTGGATATGACAATGGGGTTGAGGAACTAGATCAAGACGATAGGAGGATCACTAGAAGGTGGGCAATCAGTCGACCAATCGCGTTCCTAGAGTTAAATCAAGGAGAGGAGAGGAGGTTGTGGAGGGAAGCCAGAGAGAGGACGACATTGCAAAGGGCTAGGGAAGAAGCAGCCAACGCTGGAAGGTCACTAGGAGAAGCACTAGAAGCAGAAGCTAGGGGCAACGTCGAGGCAGTCGTGACTTTCGCCTCTACCATGTCACAGGTCTCATCCTTGTTCTTGTTGTCAAGTGACAGTCAAAGTGTTTCCCAGTTTTCATTAGTCAATCTGTCGGTTTGCAGGTCAGCCAGCAGTAACCCATGTCAGATGAGGATTATGAGATCCAATAGGCGGATCACTAGGCATCGAGTTACGACGCCAGTTGCAAGAGGTAGAAAAAAGGAGAGACAACGCTAAACTTAGAAAAGCTAGATTGGAGGCAAGGAGAGGAGTTAGGCAAGTTAGAAGTTGTAGATGATTCAACTCTCAATCCTGTAACGGTGTCCCTTCGGAGATTACTATAGGTACAGGCCGCACAACAAGGAAAGTTGGCTACACTGATACGCTGATAGATGGTCAGAATCAGCTTCGGACCGCACTGCAGGCGGCGCGACCTCAGGTCAGGCAGCCTAAGTATGTTGCAGCTCCCCGTACGGTTGCAGGTCCTACAGTGACGCCGCACCAGTAGGGCAACCCTTTCCCCTCAGTTTGACATGCCCCTATCAAACGGTCTAGTAGAAGGTAGTAGTGGGCAAATTCCTTTAACTTCTTCGCTTCCACTATCAACAGTTGTGGCTATAGGACAGCCACATGTACAGCAGTCTGTGCAACAGTTACCTCTGCAGCAGCAAGTGCCGTAGCAATAGACTGGTTTCATTGGTTTCACAACCAATGCAGGAGGCACAAGGCGTATTACAACCCATGTGGTGGACCCCAAAGATACCCTTGTTGAGTCCTAAGCCCTTCTCTAGCGACAAGAAGACGGAAGAGGACCTGGATAACTCGGTGAGGACTGTGCCAGCTTTTGTGAGTCATAAGCTCACAAGGACTAAGGAAAAAGTTATAGTCGTTGCATCCTTTCTAGAGGGATCTGCAGCCAGATGGCTGAATGGATTGGTACAACAACAGGCTATGTATCACTCGCGGTCATGACCGCGAGGCCGCTGACTGCATGCGGTCAGGATCATGGCCCGTGGGACCAACCGCAGGGGACAAGTGCAGCCGCAAACCCTCGACATTTTTAATTCCTAGGATAATAGGCAAGAAAAATGTATATATATATGGGCTGAAGGGTTTGCAAATCCCTACATCCCCATATTCTTTTGTGAATTTTGATGTTCTTTGTGATTTTTAGAATATAGAAAATGAAAAAACAGGTATTAAAATCAAGAGAAATCTAGGCTACCAGAGTGGCCAAGGGTCACTTGGCCGCCCGGGCCAAACAAATACAAATAAAAAATATTTTTTAATTTTGCATAACATTTTTTTTTTTCCGATTTTTTTGTGTGACCCTGAGGCAAACGTTGTTTAGTTTATTTCTCTGCATAACATAGTTTTTTTTCAATTTTTTTGGAAATGTTTGTTTGTTTGCTTTTTTGTTGGGACCTTCCCTGGTCCTTGCACGGGCTGGCCACCCGGGACCCGAGCGGCCTTGCTGGTAGCTCAGAGAGAAATATAATTAAAAAATGATTTATTTATTTTTTTCTCTGATTGCTGGTGGGATAAAGATGTTGCGCATGTTTCTTTGGTTCGTTTTTTTTACCAACATATGCAGCAAATATAAAAGGAAAAAAATAAACAGATAATAATGGAAAGAAAAACCAAAGCCGTTTCTTTTTTTTCCCCTTTTTTTTTTTTTTTTT